GATGATAGTGTTTTTAAATCTATTAGAAATCGTGTCGGGTTATATTTGGATGTTTTCTGCTGAAAAAATAATCGAAAAATATTTCGGACGAGAAGAATGATCATTTTCAGTGTCAAGAGATCATCGAATTCAACATTTTCGGATTCGGACTCGGTTTATTGGATGTCTTTGAGATCTGAACCCAGTCGTACCGCATCTTGATATTCTCAATGAAATATTCTAATCAGAATTGGATAGTCGCTCCGAAGATACGAGATACTTTTTTCCGACTTTTCGTATTCGTTGATTAGCACGCCTTACATATTTCATAAATGTTTCGAGTACATCAAATCCAAAATTTTCAGATTAGCGAATCCAGAACCAACTTGACGGGCTCTATCAATGCCTCTCCTTTCATAAAATCCGTCACTGAGAAGTATGTCGTTAGATTGATATTTCAAAAAAAAATCGAAACAAATTAAAATTTGATTTCTAGTGAACTATTTTTCTGTTTTTATTTGGAATTGATTGAATAGATTTGTCCGTATGATTCAAAAAGTTAACTTTACTTTTGATATTTTTCTTTTTTGTAAACTCATGAATTTTAATTAGTAAAGTAATTGAATCTTTTGTGAGCATAATTGCTAAATAGTTTTCAAAAACAATTTGAAAAACTATGATTAATTTCATAGATAGAATTAACTATATGTCATGATAAAATTGAGTTAGTTTTGTACGATTGCAATTTCGTTTAAAAGTATATATCATTCAAACAACATGTGATGGCTATATAAAAATCAATTCATTGAATAAGGATTCATCGGTTTTTTTTGTTATTATGATTAATAAAAAAACAATGAAAATCAATGTTATTTTATTTGTTAGTTTTTCTTTAATATACTCTTTTACGGATAATTTATCACGTTTTTATTCTTTAACAGCATTTAAAAATTACTTATAAGTATATTAATAAATGACTTTACATTAAAATCGTATTCGTATTGTTTGTTTTTTACATAATTTCTTTCATATAAAGCTGTAAGACATAATTCAAAGAATGTTGACACACACATACACTTAGTCAAGTGTACTGTTCCATTAGTAGCATAATGATGCCCTATATACGATCTTATGCTTACTTTTTACACACGTATCTGTTCGAAAATTTAATTGCATCATCGGTATATCATATATTATTCGTTGCTTTACAATGAGTAAAGAATCTGTACTTTATAAAAAAAAAAAAAAAAAAAAAAAGCTCGAATTCGTTTACTGTTCATGTCTACCGTCATGTTGGCATCAAAAGAAGCTTAATAAAATCAACATGATTGAAGAAAAGAAAAAAGAAAGGAAGAAAAAAGAAATTCGTGTAACACACATCCATACAGGTATGTACATCATCATTGGCTCTATTGAATATTGTGAATGACGAAAAATTTAATCGTTTGCCAAGACAAATATAAAAGATTGAGACTACCTGTAGAAAAAATTTGAACGAGAAGAAAAAGAAAGGAGAGCAGAAAGAGAGAGAAAAAGAGAATATAGGTGTTATTTATGATAATCGATAGAGACAAAAACAAATCACTAGTTCTATTGAAATTTATTCCAGTTTTTTTTCGTTAAATATTCTTTTTCTTTATTCTTCTTCAACATATATAAGGAGCCAATAACAGTTACTATTACTCAATTTTTGACATCCATTCATTGCAATCGTTTACTCAGTCATATTGTTCATTTAATTACTTGTCATTCTCCACAAATATCAAATAAGTAAGTTGCATTTAATAGAGTAAAAGAAAAAGAAAAAGAGAAGATCATTAAGATTCTTTCGTGTATGTGTTTCTTTTTAATCATAATATTGAATAGCTAGTTTATTTTTCATTTAAATTATACATGAATGTCAATGTTCAAAGTCATGATCATACGCATTTAGCAGCTGTTTCGAGTGGTACATCACGTTGTTTAGGTTCTTGAGGACGATATTCTCGAGTCCATTCAAATTTCGGTGAATAATTTCCATCAGAACCATTACACGATAAATGAATTGGAGCAATCTCATAAAATTCTTGAAGTATAGCTGTAGTTAATGGAGTCCATCGTATTGATCTATAATTTTCATAAACTGTTTGACTCATACTTGTATTAGCATAATCATACCTAAAATAATATAATTTTTTCGCTAATGATGTTTTTTTTTATTCAATAATATTTACTCTTTCATTGTTTCAAAAAATTGATCGAGTGCATCGTCTCTTACACTTGTTTTACATAATTCAAGATTTGTTCTTGGATAATAATGCATATAATTAACACACATTTCATCAGTTATTCCATATCCTCCAAATGTCATATTCGTTCGAATTTGTGTATTATAAATACATGTATGTAAAATCATGTCACCAGGTTTGATTAAAATTGGCTCAGGTAAAAGACGTATTTCTTGAAAATGTGGACTATAATGTCGATCAATATTTAATGTAATAATTTCACCATTTGTTTTTATAATACGTGTAAATGTTTGTATACCATTAAGATGTGTATGTAATTGTGATGCAAATACTGTTATACCATCTTTTGGTAAAGTTACTTCAGTACATTCACCTGTACAATAGCCTGATATACGAAATTTATTTGTTTGTGGTGGAATAGAATTTTTTGCATTATATTCAAGACCAACTTCCATTATACCAGCATCATATTTTCGTAATGTTGATGTATAATATATTCGTATACCAGATTGATCAACAATACCTTTTTTTAAATATTGATTATTAAAATGTACTTCAAGTATAACATAAGATGATTTTCTTGGTTCACCTATTAAACCACCAGCTTCATCTGGATAAGTAAAATTTGTTGCACCTAATGCCCATGCACCAATAACACGACGACATGGTGTTAAACCCATTGGTTTTTGTTCACTTGTACATACTCCATTATATTCTGGTATATCAATATCACTAGAAACATCACAATGAAATAATTCCATATGATGTACAATACCATTACTTTGTGGTGATATAACACCATCAAAACGAATTATATGATGAGGTTTTTCTACAATATTTGATGGTAATTTAAAACGTGTACACCAATAAGTTGTTTCAACATTTGGTATAGTTACATCTTGATTTAAAAAATCAATATGTGGATCTTCATCAGGTATTTGCCTAAATTTAACCTAAATTTATATAAATAAAATTTTTCAATTAAAGCAAAAAATAAAAAATAAACATAATAAACTTACTCGAGTTTTAAGTAATTGAACACGTTGTAATGTTAAATTCATTTGTTCAATATCAATTTTTATTAATTGATTTTGTTTAAGTTTTTGAAAATCTTCATATGTAATTAATCCAGTTAATAAATGAGTTGTACCACTATCAATAATATAATTTCGTTTTTCTTTATCACATGTATCAATTGGTCGAATAATTTGTATTGAATATTCTTTTTCTTTTTTATTTTTAATATATCCACTATGTAATATAGTATAACTTAATTTAACACGATTCTTTGGTATAAATAATAAACTATTTTCATCTGTATAAGCATTATAAATTTTTTCATCATTACTTAATATGATAACATCTAAATTATTCGTATTTAAATCATAATTTGAAAATGCAAGTATACCACCATAATTATTCAATAATGTAATATTCCATCGAAAAATTAATCGTGTTGCATCATTTTCATAATAATTCCATTCAAGTGTACTTCGCAATGGTTCAGATAGTCCAACCATATAACTAAATTCTTCATCATCTTGTACTTGTCCTTGTACACATAAAATTATTTTAATAGTGAACAGTATTAATAGAAATCTCGATCGTAACATTTTTATATTTCTTTTGCGTGTGTGTATGTGATTGAAAAACTCTGTTGCTATCAACTCAATGGAATATAAAAGAAAAAAAGAAAGATTGTTTCCTTTTATGATTGTCTGTGATTATCAGTTAATCAAAAATCCAATGAGATTGAGCACGACAATAAATCTCTAGAAGCCAACATATGTTTCCTATTTTCCTTTGTTTTTACTCTGTTGTTCATCATTCAGGATCAAATACAGAAAAAGTTTTGCACATTAATCTTTGTGTTTGCATATAGACACGCACATACATACACACATATATTATATCCGGTTTGAAAAATAGATAAAAGAAAAATCAATCAACATATTTTCTGTCATAAGAGTTTCTTTTTTTTTTTCTTTTTTTTTCTTTTCAAAATTCATATACTGAAATATGATAATAAAGAATTGTGAGATGATAGAAAATTTGTGCATTGACTGATTATATTTCACGTTGGCGTTTATTTGCAAACGGTAAAATGCAGTCATCATTGATTCAAGTGGTTTTGCTGTACTTGCAAATACTTGGATGTACACCTCTTTTTTTTTGTATTATATTTTGCTTAAAACAGATCATGGCTTGTTAGGCAACAAAAATAAGAGGCATGTGTGGTACGAAAAAAAAAATCTTATCCATCATATTTATTGTTGTAATTGGATGTAAAAAGAGAATAAATCAACAATAATATATAAGAAGTATTCTTTTATTTCAATGAGCTTTGTATTTTTAAGAGACTCCATATTCTTAATCGTCTTCGAAAAAAAAAAGATGAATGAAGAGAAGAAAAAAAAATTATTTTGAAAAGAAATATGAGTTTTCGAAGTGTAAAGTACCGTTTATTAATATAAGAATAAAATAACAATAAACATCACTTGAATCGTTTTTTTTCACTTTTTTTTTTCTTTATTTTCAACTTCTATTTTATTTTTATTTCTTAATTATTTTGGTATTTATTTGTATATAAAAGTGAAAATATAATAACAATCACATCAACCGTATAACATATATATATATATATATATACGCCCATATTCTTTTTCTCTGCAATCGCCTACATACTTATGATCACAATCAATACCAATAAAAATTGAAGGAATAAACTAATCCATGAAACGATAAAAAGAAAAACCTTCGTACGATTCTCTTATTTCCACGCTTGTTTTAATCATGATTTACAACGATCGATTAACACCACCAAATTGGCCACCATTAGTTCGTTATCCAAGTTATTATCCTGATCGAGTAAGTAAACATTTTTCTTTCATATCTTACATTTACTAATACTCTAATAAACGTACTAGAGAACCATAATAAATGTTTATTTTTCATTTTTATATGAAGAGAGAAAAGAATATAATGAAGCTCCTAAAATGAAAGCACATGAAAAGAAAATGATGTCTGACTATAATGCAAGTAAGATGCATCTTAAACGTACTTGAGGAAATAAAAGAAGTCTGCATGATTGAATAGTGTAAGTACTGCGGTTTGTATAGGTAATCGATAAACAAAAATCGGATCATAGTTTTTAAACGTACTAAGAAAACCAAACATATTCTATATGAATCAATATAATTTTTCCTTTATTATTTAGTTAACATCTTATATTTCCTTTTCTGATCGATTTTGCTATTGTCAAATTATATAGTTATCGCACCTTTTCTTTTTCGGTTTTTTCTTCTTGTCATTTACATTATGTGAATGAAAATTTATGTCAACAGTGTTTTTCATCTCACTTACATATACATTTTCTTCTTTTTTTTTCTTCATTTAAAAGAAATGAAATCTTCTAAAAGAAAAAGAAGAAAGGCTGCACTTTACTTTTTTCAATTTTTTTTGTTGTTTCATACATTTTGAGTGAGCGTGGTCGAAACGGAAATCGGAAAGTGTGCATGTGTGTGTCTATATAAGTATGTTTGCCACAAAGTTTTACGCCAAATTTAGATGAATTTGGGTTTAACTACGAGAAGACCATTTGTAAAATAAATATATACACAGACGACGGTATTTTTTTTGTGGATGACGACGCGAAATTCACACACGGCAAGACCTTAGTTGTTTGTTTTTTTGAATACATCTTATTATCTTTGTATTTTATTTTATTTTTAGCGATTAAGTATCCTGTGGTTTCTTGTTCTAACTATCTTATCATTAATTCTAAGTGTAACTGCATTGATCATTGTTTTTGCTGTTGAACATTCATGGTTCCATGATAATTTTGAGGGTAATGCAAATCGATATGGTCTTTGGCGTTTATGTTCTTATACAAATAATACATGTGATAGTTGGTTTTCTACTGGCGGACCTCATAGTCCTTATATTGAACGTCGTCTTAATCAATCTAAAAGTAAATAATTGAATATGATCATTTTTCTATATATAGAGTGGCGCTCAAAATTATTCATACACCCGACAAATAACGATCCGATGATAATATCTTTGTTTTTATTCAAGGTATAGAATTGTGGTTTTGCGTCAAAATATAGCTAAGTATTGATGCTGTCTACACTGGAAGTTTCCGCCCCATAGAGCTTATCTTGATGATGTAAGGCTAAAAATAGTAAAATTGTAGAATTGTGATTTAGCTCAAAATTATTCATACACCTATTATGTGAAGTAAAATGATTGCAACATCGAACATTTTGCAAATATCTCAGCATGAGTAAATCCTATAACTTCAATTTTTTAAAAAGATGCGCAGTGAAAATCTCTACAAGAGTGACTATGAAAATGCCTCATCGAATTCTCGCAATAATTTTTTTTAAAACTAACAGTGAAGCACTGCGAAATGATAATGTGTCCCGTTATTCAGAAAGAAACAAAAATAAGACAGTCCATCACTTCGTCGCACTTCACTTTTAGCTTTAAAAAAAATTATTACGAGAATTCGATGAGGCATTTTCATAGTCAGTCTTGTAGAGATTTTCACTGCGCATCTTTTTAAAAAATTGAAGGTATAGGATTTACTCATGCTGAGATATTTGCAAAATGTTCGATGTTGCAATCATTTTACTTCACATAATAGGTGTATGAATAATTTTGAGCTAAATCAAAATTCTACAATTTTACTATTTTTAGCCTTACATCATCAAGATAAGCTCTATAGAGCGGAAACTTTCAGTGTAGACAGCATCAATACTTAGCTATATTTTGACGCAAAAACCACAATTCTATACCTTTAATAAAAACAAAGATATCATCGTCGGAGCGTTATTTGTCGGGTGTATGAATAATTTTTAGCACCACTCTTTATATACATATTGATATGTCTTATCTATTTTTTTGTTCAAGGTGGTATTAATGCATGGCAAGCTCTTGAAATTGTATTTCTGTTTTTAACAACCGCAACATTAATTATTACTATAGCTTCTATTACTTGTTATCGACGTCGAAACAGTTTTCATTATTATTTGGCTATATTAGCAATCTTTTGCATTTGGCCAGCAGGTAATGAATTTTATATGAAAAATGATTAAAACGTTTTTTAGGCAATAAATTTTATTATATTTTCAGCATGTATTGGTATTGTGGGATTATTTGTCTTTGGTTTTTCTGTATATAATGTTTCACAATCACCACGCGATCTTGATTGGTGTTTTTATGTAAATCTGGTTGCTGTCATACTTGTTCTTTTAGGTGCTATACTTTTATCTATTTATGATTCACTCTTGAGAAAACCATTTAGGTAAGTTTAGTTTTTTATGTTTTTTTTTTGTATTACTATATTTGATTTATTATAAATTTTGCTTTTTTATCGTTCTTTATAAAGAACTGTAGACAATGATACTATTATTGAAACATTTGCCGATCTTAATGGTTATCCAGCAACATTAAGTCCATCAACATTTGTCATTGTTAGACAAAATAAGAAAAAAAGAAATAAACCTTATGATTATCCACAAGTACTTCATCCGAGTCGTTATTTTCCAACAGCAGTACCTAATGGTGGTATTAATAGGGATTATGTATCAAATACTAATCATAAACCACTTGCAAATTATACATCCACGACGACTACTACTCAAGAAACTAATATACATAGTCAACATCAGCAACAACAACAACAACAACAACGGCAACAGCAACCATCAACATCATATCAAAGTTTTGAACACAATCGTTCTAATCTTATAGCATCACCATCGGCAACAACAATGCCACCACAACCATCAATACCAGTTCCAACACAATCTTATCGAGCACCATCATCACCTTATCAATATCAACCACGGCCATCTCCACCACATTGGCATCGAACAGGAACAAATGCAATGAATCAATCAATTGGCTATGCTTCGGAACCTACACATGATTATATTCAACGTGATTATTATCATCCAACTCGAATAAATCTAATAGACAGAAGATTTGAACAAACACAAGAACCACGTGTTTTACATTATTATACAGGTTATGATTATTTTGCTACTCTTGATCCAGCAGATGCTGTTTTAACAAGACAACCACCGACAATACGACCTGGTTCCGCAGTAAGATATAGTGGTAATCCATCTTTTTATTCTCAAAATGATTATATAAAGAGCACATTATAACGAATATAATAAAATTTAAAAATTTCTACATGTTTCATGTTTATTAGAGAGCACAGAATGAGTTTTATTAAATGTGTTTGGATTGATTTGTTGCTATACTCATTCTATTTCTTTTTCTTTTTTATTTGACTAATTTGTTTTCTTTGAATGCTTGACGCAATTGTGCGGTTCTAGAATTTTTTTGTAATACATTCTATATCTTTTTGTTTGTATGAATATTCTTATACAAATCTTTTTATTATTGGTTGAGGATTTAGGTTTGCGAAAATATTTTTTTTTCTTTTATTTGAATGTGTTTATGATTACTAATTGTGCTAAATTAAAAATTCATTTCGCAGGCATTTGTATGCAAAAAAAAAAATAGTTCATTGTATTTTCCAAAAATCGATGGTCTTCTTGTGATTTGTATTAATTGCAATTTTGTATTTCTTTAAATAAATGAATTAGTTCGCCTAAAGTTTAAACTCAATTATTCCTACCATTACGATTTATGACATTAACTAATTGTTTATAGACGTTTATAATAGGAAATTACTTCTAAGTAATTAATTCAATTTTGATTACGAATCATTAAAAAACAGAAACACTAGCATGAATGTCGGGCATTCAGTAAATATATATATATGTATAAAGTCAATAAAACGAAGCAGAAATGAATAAAAAAATCAGCAATTAACTTGATAAAAGAATTTGTCTAAATAATCGCAGCAGGTGATTTTAACAATTTCTTTTTTCACTAAAAATTATTCAAATAGATTCTTGTATGAATATTTTATGAATAGAGCATTGCATACCAATTTTTTTTCTTATTTATTTAAACCACCAACTGTCATTTCCACTGTCCTAATAGAAATTATTATGGTAATTAACATAAATACAGATGATCAATAATGTAATCAGACATGCAATCTTGATATAAATTAACATATATGAATCGTATGAAGATGTAATTGATGCTATGATACTTTATAAATCTTTTCTTCATACATATCTGTCCGTAAACATAGTAATTTGAACTATTAATTCAAATGACAATAATGACCTAGAGAAAAAGAGAGGAAAAAAAACATTTATATTATGATCGGTTTTCATACAAGAACAACTTATTTATCTAAGACATAGACACTTTTTTTTTTGGAATTTTTTATAAGAATATATATCATCATATAAATATTAATAAATTATCAAATTTGAGTATATCTATCTATAAGTTCTACAATAAAACATCCATCCAAAGATTATTGACATATTTTTCTATATGGTAAATAAGTTGATCTGTAATCAATCTCTATTTAAACATATGCCATATTTATTCGTTCATGATAGAACTATAATTTGTAGAATTGAATTTACATACAAGATAAGCAATCTAAAAATTTGAATTGTTTCTACGATCATAAAGACAAATGACAGTCTAGATATTGATATAAATATTTATTAAATGACTTGACAGTGCTAATTTATATTCACTTTTATAATGTCTCATATGTAATTTCTTCTATACTAACGAATGCATCAAAAGTATTTAGACAAAATATTTCTTCGTTTTTCGATTGATTAAGAGACTTAGCAGAAAGTATTAAACATTTGGTTAGAATAAATTGAATACATGCTAATTGTTCAATAATTTTCCTCATAACTTTCATGAAAACGTCCATTACATTTAATCTTACTTTCTTTTCGTTGACTGAACCATGCTTTGAATTCTTTTTTTTTTGATAATCACCTCCATAATAGACTTCCTTTTCAGCAATGACGTCTCTTGTTGCGTATGTCCTATTAGCGATATTTTTGCATAGTATAAAGGTCGAGGCTGTCGTCTACAAAGTCGTTGTTTGGTGAGAAGTGGCCTATTTCGCGAAAATAATAATTTCGTGCGAAGTTTGAAAGAATGCTTTTGAAGTTTAGAAATTCGATTCTATTAGTGATTTTTTAAAATTTTTGAATTTGACTTTTTCAGAAAGCCACCCATATGGATCCAGATTCCTTGACCATGAACACCTGCGGTCAAACTTTATTATACATCGTCATTTTCTTAAAATAGGCTTTTTCTGGTCGAAAAATATAGCTCACTAAGTTTTCATAACTTGTCACAGGGCAACAGGTTAGTCTCGGTAACTTCCCGTCTCCTGCTTACTACTGAATTGTCTACTAATATAGTTATTCAACTAATCGCATATTGTCACGATTTTCGATGGAATCAAATAACTTTTTTTGTTGGTTTTCAAGCAATCGATTTATTCGGATAAATCTTTACTGAGAAATATGAATGAGATTTATTAGCTGCATAAGGAAATATCACCTCTTACTGCAGTAATAGGACAGCACATCAACATACGCTTTTGCATTAAAAGAATTGGAGAATACGATGAATAGGAAAACAATGATTGAAAAGAGAATTGTTTGTATAAAACCTGTTTCTCTTCATATACTGTCTATAATTGCGGTTATGTCGACTTGCACAGCTGTAAAAGTCAAGTGGTCGTAAGAATAGCAAAACATTGGCAGAAAAAAAGAACGAAGAATACAAAAAGTACAATATGATTAACAGAGCGATATGTTGAATTGAAAAAAGAGAAATATAAACTATTAAGATGACACCACGAGTCTGTATCGCCTGAACAAGGTGCCGCCAGAAAAGGCTCTAACAATAACCGAAATTGTCGTAGACCTACTCTATAATTTAGCATTATGGCTTAAGATTTGTTTTTCTTGAGTCAAACATTTGTTTAAAATAAAAACTTCAAAGAAAAACAGTGTTTCAATGTTTTGTGATAAAAACTTGATTATTCTACAATAATTTCGTCGCGATGTTCCTGACCAGTTAGAATGTGTATAAAAATTTCTAATCGAATCATAAGATAGAGCGCAAAAAAGTATTTTTAGAGCATCACATAGTCAAATAAAAACTAAACTTACTGTTAGTTAACAACGAATTATAAGAGATTATCGTGACAGAATCATCTTCACTAGTTTATTACTTGTACCAATGTAAATAAATATCTGAAGAAGTAATGAAACGCAATTCTTTTGTCATAATTGTATACTCTGCAAAAATCTCGTGAGTTTTTGTAAAAGATTCTGACGAACACATATTTGCTTATATGAAAAATCCAAAATTAAGAAGGAATAGAAAAATGTGATTTTTATTACTAATGATACACTTCTCCTTCGTAGCATTTTAGTCCAGTAAAATGATCATAACTCGAAAAGAAATGCTCAATGGCACGAATATTTTCAGGCTTTTTATCTAGTCTATAAGTCCTAGCTATGAGCAAAATATGAGCTCTAACGGATATTATCAGTTGGATGAGTTCCCTTCTAAAAAAATGCCTTTTTTTTCGGTTTTTATAGTACTTTTAAATGTTTAAGGAAATTTTTGTCTTTAAAATGGCATTATTAAAAATAATCTTCTGGGATCTGAAAATTACCATGTTCAGTTTTTTAGAAACCTTGCTATCCTAGTTCATCCAATATAGAATATATTAGATCTAAAAACTCCATTAGCTATTAAAATTATTATCTGGATTTGAGTTAATTGTTTAACACTGTAGAAAAAAAATTAGATTGTTGTTAAACTTTTTTCCACTAAGTTATGTATGAAATCAAAAACTATCCATTAAAACAAATGTGATTGAACCGCATAACAAGTACAAATTTATTTATTATTATAAATAAAGTGATATGATATGACTATAAATTATTTGCTAAGTAAAAATATTAAAATGTTAAGTTGGCTTTTGCCAAGTAAAATGTCTATTTGCTCAGTAAAAAAGTTGAATGTTAAGTAAAAATATTGAACGCTCAGTTAATAATAAGGTTCTCAATAAAAAAAAAACTGTTTGCTAAGTTTGATAAGTAATCGCTAAGTAAAAATCTTTTTTGTTAAGTTAATAAATCGAAATTATACTAAAAAAATTCAATCACTAAGTAAAAATTATAATTAGTAAGTAATTTCGAATAAAGGCAAAGTACGATTATCTGAGATAAGAAGAATTTTTTATGGTGGTATGACGTATATATTTTTCCTCTTGCTTTCCTTCTATCAACATTAAACTAGTTTCATGACATTTGTATATTTCACCTATATCTTCTTTCGTTCTGATGTTATGCATGAATAGGTGCATATTTTCTTCGAGGATGTTCCGGTACAATTATTGCTATTTTTCTCTTGTTGTTTCTTTTACATATTATCTGCATTGTTTTCTCGAGAATTCTTTTCTGTTTGGCACTTTCTAGCGAGTTCTTACCCGCTCCCGCCCCCATTTTTGTATATATATCTGCGCTACTAAAAATTTATTCTGAATTAATAAACTAGAACAAATTTTCTGGCGACACAACCATATGAAAGCTCATCGGAATCGGATGATGAAATGAAAATCGATGAAGAAGATATTCAAGAAAAAAAAGATAGTTCGACGTAATCTTCATTGGATTAAAGATAAAATTTTTTCTGATGATAACGAAGCTCAAATGGCATTTAAACAAGAAAAACAGTGGAATAGATATTACACTAACAAAGATCATGATGGAATAAAAGTTCATTATCGCTGTAATCAAGTGCAATTTCGTGGCAAACAATGTCATGCAGCAATACATCTATACTCTCCAAATGATAGTGATCAGGTAATATTGTTTCGTACAGTAAGTGAACACCATTATACAAATTCAAATCAATGCAAGATTTTTTCCGAAGAAACAAAACAATATATTGATGGATTGTTTTATTTAAAATTAAAACTCAGAAAAATATATGAAGTTTTACAAGAAAAAAATTTTAAGATTACCTTCAATCAACTAAAAAGTTATTTGGTACAACTGAATAAAAAGAGATTTGGTCTTTCAACTTTAAGCTTGGAACAATTAGAATCTTTATGTGCTGGAGAATCTACAGTGTACCACAATCTGACGATGAACCATTTGTTCTTTCATATCATGTTCATTATGCAGATGACATTGATGATAACTACGACGTGGTAGATGATGGCAATAAATTTGGA